CCCCCAGCACCACATGCCAGCCAGCCCCACCCCCTGGTGGGCTGAGCTGGCCACACACACACACACACACACCACACACTCTCTCTCTCTCTCTCTCTCTCTCTCTCAAATAAATAAAAATAAAAAAAAAGACAAAATAAAAGAAAATGTGTGGTTATAGGGCTGGCCAGATAGCTCAGCAGATTAAACTGCCCGCTTAGACAGGTGCAGAGACCAGGGTTTGATCCCCAGAGTGCTGTGCTGGCCCCGCCCCCGGGGTGTGCTGAGGTGCTGATTGAAACTGGGCGTGGTGGTGCACGCCTGTAATCCCAGGGCTTGGGAGGCTGAAAACAGGAGGATCACTAGGAGTCTGATCTGTGTAGTGAGACCTTGTAGACCCTGTACTAAATACATTTAAAAAATTAAAAAGATGTGTGGTTATATATCTTAGGTAATCCAAAGGATGAATTTAGGTTTTACATAGATTATGTTTATGAATTTTCATATTTTTGCATTTATTTTTATGAAGACCTTTTTGGCAAATGACACTGTTTTCACATATGAAAGCAATGTTTCCATTTCAAATACATTTTTCCTAAAATGAATCAATTTTAAGGAAAATAAATCAGTCATGAGAGAGATGATAAGAAGATATAGCAACATAAATAAAAGTTGTGGGCAAAGCCAAATCCTGCAGTCAGCAGGGGCCCAAGCTCTACAATTTTGGGAGGGAAGAATGGGGCACTGTGTGCCTCAGAAAGCCTTGGTAACACAGTCGTGAATTTTTCCCCCCTCAGAGAGAAAAGTCTCCGGACATAACACCATCCCACTACCGGACCCCCCACTTTTCCTTCCATGACAAAGGTCTCCTCCAGAGCTTTTTCTCTGTTGCTCCCATCCAGTGCGAAAGGGACAGGTTGCAGTATACATTATCCACTGGGGCAGTCATGGGGAACCTTCTAGAGCTTTCAACAATAATGAATAACTGACTGGGGCACACGTGCTATAGGTTTGCCAATACTGCACTAGAGGATTTTGGGAAGATCCCAATGCAGGTGCTCCTCTTTAGGAAAAGGAGGGACCACGCTGTTCCTTCATATACCATGGCCTTCCAGGTATGCTTACTGCCCTCTACCTAGAATTTTTCACCCACGTTTTTCTCCTTACTGATCTTTTTCTTTGTTCAGCTCAAAAGCCAACTCCCTAGGGAAACCCTGACTCACTACCTATTTATCTTCGTGGTTCTGGGCCTCAAACCCAGGGCTGAGCATACACTGTACCACTAGGCTATCTTTAGCCCTGGCTACCTTGTTTAAAGTGAGCCTCTTCAGTGGCCCTCTGTTCCCTTCCTGGTGTTGCTCACTCTGTAATTGTCTTTGACCCACTAGCCTGTGAGCTTCTGGGTGGCAAAGACTTTGCCTTGTTTGCTGTTGCACCTGCAGGGCCCAAGGCAAGTCCTGAGCCACACTGAAAGCTCCAGATATGTGTTGAATAAAAGCGTTCTGAGTTGGGCCATCTCCCACAATGCCAACTTGTACCACAGCCAAAGACAGAGGAGGGAGAGAGAGGGAAGCCAAGGAAGTCTGTGGTTCAGCATCAAACACATTTATTTCACTTTTATTGAGTATACAAGAACAGAGAGCACACGCATACAGCACAGAGCACTGAGGTGGGGGGAGCATGGGGACAAGAGAAGAGAAAGGGGTGTGAGTAAAAAGGAACAGGACAGCACTGCAGTTGGTTGGTAAAGTGCTTTTGAAAAAAATTATTTAGAGTGATGTAGCTCATGCAATTTCAGGCCAGTCTTGGAATGTGCTTGCAGGATTCAAAAACAGAAACAGGTCTTGGCACTTCCTGTACTCTCAGATAGGAAAGATCCAGAAAAAGCAAAATGAGAACAAATAAAGGTCTGTAGGATGGCAGAGTGGAAAAGACCCTGGAGAGCTTCTAGTTTACACCACTCATTTTTCAAGTGGAGAAACTGAGGCTCCAAAAGGGAATGCAGCTAGCCCAGTGTCACATGGTGAGTTAGGGGCTGAACCAGGATGGTCACTCAGGATCCCGTCTGCTCTCTGGGACTTTTCCCACTACACTACCTGGCCTCTTGGATGGAGAGGTGGCACACAGGATGAAAAAGTGGCAAAAAGGAAAATAGGTTGAAGACAGATGAGACAAACAGTTCTACTCCCTATGGAGAGGAGGAGGGGGAGGAAACAGTGTCCTAGATTCCAGCTTCGCAGTCCCCTCCTCCCTGGTGGTGCTGCCTGCCTCTCTGTGGGAGGAAAGCCAGAGCACCCATGGGATGGGGACCTCCCCAAACTCAGGTGGCCTACAAGCTATGCTTGGTCACTTCAACCCGGCCCTGTCAGCAAGTAGAAACCCCAAAACAGGCTCTTCCACTGAGGTGTGTCTGGTATGCTTGGGACACCTGGTTCCTGCAAACACAGGGGGACCTGAGCTGAATTCAGAGTAGCCCTGAGAGATGGAGCCACTCCAACTCTGGGCCCAGAAAAAGTGGGAGGTCTCCAGGTGAGAAGGGCAGGAAGGAGGTTCTGTGGCTTCTCCACCAGGATTGCAGAAAGAACCTGGTGCAGGAAACTGAGCTGCTGTCCTCAGGGAGTGCAGAGAGGCTGCTGGCCTGCACTGAGGGGATGTGGCTGGCCCTGCCATCTGAGAGCCTCGTTCTACTTCCCATTTGCCTGCAGGGACAGAAGCTATTCTAGTTTCTTGTCCTGCTTCGAGCCAGCACCAGCTAAGTAGCTAAGTTATATGTCATACAGTAACAGGTAAACAAGCCAAGAGGGTGCATATAGCCTGGGCCCTCTGGGGGACATCCCTAGGCAATGGCCAATAAGTTGGAGGGAGAGGGGGAGATGCTCGCAGATGGGCCAGCCACAGTTGGAAATTTAAGGCTGGTCAGGTGGCTTCCTGGGCCCCTCCTCCACTTTCACACTTTCTTCTCCAGCCTGAGAACAGTGCCTGGCATGAGTGGGTACTCAATAAATATTTCTTGAGTAAATTCATCAACTGAGAGGTGAAAAGAGGCTGAAAAATTAAAGCACTGTGGGACATTTTCCCTTAGCAAGGGACACTTCCTGAGCTCAGGGAAGTGGCTTGTGGCAAGGAAGCCCAAGGAAGCTCGCATGTGCCAGAGGGCAACGCCAAGCACGTGACAGTCTTTCTCCAAGGGCTCTGAGGTGTGTCTAGTATGCTTGGGACACCTGGTTCCTGCAAAGACCCATTTCTCTGAGGTCTTGAGGCAATTCTGGGGACTCCAAGAACACAGGCTCCAAGCTCAATGGCTGACTGAAGGGGAGAGCTCCCAAGTCAGAACCTTCAGGCAACATCATCCTCCCTCTGGTAGTCCTGGGGTAGTAATGCCTTTGGAAATGCAGTTTTGATCTGTCAGGGGCTGCCCTGGGTTCACAGCCTTTTGGGCTCAGAGAGAAGAAAATGATTCAGAATATGGAGGAGAAGACATAGCTGGGCATTTTCAAAGAGCTGGGTTCAAGCCACTACCTCCTGCCTTGGTCAGGGCACCACCTCCCTTTGGGGATGGAGCTACTCAGGGTCAGGGGATGGCAAATGTGGTCAGGGAAGGGCAAGACATGGCAAAAAAAAAAATAATAAAACAAGGTAAAAATAAAACAAAGAAAGAAGACTGAAAACCGAGGCAAGCCCCCTAGGGAGGTAGGAGGACTGAGCCAGGGACCTCTATGGGGGGACTCAGCAGCAGATTCCTGACTCTGACCCCAGGTGCAAGCACAGACAAGGCCGGGCTGCTACTGCTGGGGAGAAGGCATCTTGGACCAGTGTATTCTGGACTCTACTCTGTGTTGCTGCCTCTTGCTGAACCCCTGCCTCCGCTGGGCGGACCCCACTCTCCCCACCAACCACCCAATTACAAACACCACACACAGTATTACTATACTGAACCCGTCAGACCCTACTGGGAGCCAGCCACACCCGGAGTTCAGGTCTCCTCAGCTGGGCCAGTTCAGCAAGATCTAGGAACCTTGGGATACATCAATCACAGTCTGATAATTATAATTTTAAAATGTCAGCTTCATACTTACCAGCACTGTTTATTTTAATATTTGTTTCCTGCTATATGTAATATACATAACTTAAAAGCACATCCATACAAATCTCCTACGAGCTGCACCTTCATCATGAGAAACCAGAAACATACAATGTCTACTTCACTTCCTGTGGCTTTGTATTCTGTTCCTGCTTTCTTTTCTTTTTCTCAGTTCCAATGAGAGTCATCTGCAGGGGCCCTCAGCAGGACCAGGACACAGACTGGGAGGGGTGTGGACAGGGGAGGAGGAGGAGGGAGCGGAGACAGAAAATGACAAGACACGTGAGAATTGAAGTGGAAGGAGGGTGAAAGAAGAGGGTGGATTTTGCAGCCCAGTGTCAAGACCCAGAAAATAATAATCCAGTGTTCCTCCTCCTCCTTTCCAAGTGGGAGATTTTTTTTTCTTTCTCAGAAAACAGTTGACTGTGCGTGTCTTGCTGCTGTGACTTCTCTTGCTTGGCTGCGCCACCATTTTCCTTTGCAGTCAAGGGGGCAACAGATACCGGAGAAGAGCAAATGGGTGGCTCGTCTGCTCGCTGGACCATGGGCACCCAGGGTGGAACGGTGCTTCTACAATCATCGTGGTCTGGCTTACTTTTGTGGGTTGGCAGGGGAAAGGGACAAACAAGGGATTATGGTCGGTATCATTTCTTTTTCCTGAAAAGTCCCATCAATTCTTCCATTTTTCTGCAAAAGAAATGTAGGTTGTTGTAGATGTTGGTTGTTGCTGTTGGCCAACTGCTCCGCCAGCCCCAGCAGCAGTGCAGAACGCGGTGTTTCCTGTATATATATCTATATCTATATATATATATCTATGTATATATGCTTTTCCCTTCCCAGTCTCTCATGAGTGACAGTACGTTGCAGCTGGGACATCAGTGTTGGCATTGGAGAATCCAGAATGAAGGCCCCTTCTTAATGGTTCTCTGGCTTGGGTTGGACCAGACATGCCAGCATCTCTTCACAGAGGTCAGGACTCCTGGAGGCCAGGGGCAGTGGCATTAGGGGTGCAAAGGCAGAAGAAGAAAAAGAACTATTAGTAACTTTTGGCACTCATCTTTAAGTATAAGGCAAGAAGTTCTCTTACCTACCCTTTACTCTGCCCTTTATTGTGATGCAGAGAGGCAGTGACTTTCGGAAGCCACACAGCACTGTGGGTGGCAGCTGAGAACTGACTCATGTCTCCCTACGCCAGAGACCACGTGTGTTTGCTTGCTTGTTTCCAAGGAAGGGGTATCTTTTACTTTGGCCTGAAATTTGTTAAAATGTCCTGTAGGGATGAGAATCTAAGGTCACAAACATTTCCCTTTTTCCTCCTTTTTTCAATTCTGTAAAATGTTTAGTCATGATTATAGATGTTCTGTCTTCTCTTGTTTTTCCTTTCTGTTCTCAAGAGGTCTACTGTAGCTTGAAAATTAAACCCTAGATGGCAATGTCTTAAGTGTAGCCTAGATTTCTTTCTTTCTTTTCTTTTCTTTTCTTTTGTATTTTAGGACAGGGTCTACAGGGTCTCACTACATAGATCGGACTTGTAGTGATCCGCCTCTCTTCAGCCTCCCAAGAGCTAAGATTGCAGGCGTGCACCCAGTCTCAATGCTGTTTCAGCTTGCCCTGTGGGCAGGGCTCGCACAGCAGGTCAGGGATCGAACCTCCGACCCCTGCGTCTGCCTAAGCAGGTACTTTAATCCACTGAGCTATTTGGCCAGCCCATGAGCCTGGATTTCAATTCAGGTTTAACTTCCAAACTCAGAGTTTAATGGTGTGGATGGGCTCTGCAGTCAGACTCTCTGAGTTCAAATCTCACACCTTGGCCTGCTAGCTCGGATATTGTTGATGAGCTGCTTAGCCTCTCTAAGCTTCAGTGGCTCCCTCTGTCAAATGGGTTCTGCCTTATGCCATTAAGAGAGGAATCACAGCAAGTGCCTAGTGTACAGTGAGTGCTGAATACTATTATTACCATTGTTTTTTTTTCCTTTTCAAAGTTTTATTGATAAACATATAGCAATGAGACAGTTTCAAATCAAATCGAAAGTACAGTTTCAACAAATAATACACTGCATATATTCTTCTTAGTGGTTAATTGCTGTACAAGATGGTGTTTTTTTTTTTTTTTTTTAAATTGCTGTTACTTTAACCGTAGTCCTTGTCCTGATCCTCCCAAAAGGACAAAGGCTACTTTTCCCTGTCATTGTCATTCCTGTACTCAACATTGTTTGCAACATGGAAACTACTCAAAAACAGTATATGGAATATAATTCTTGCCGCTTGTCACTCACATATGGTCAAGTTGCTAATGAAGTTGTTGAAAAAGGACCCTTTTTGGCTTATTTGACAGATGGCCTGGAGGGTTAATGACAGCACATTCATGGCAGAGCCCAGATTAGAATCCAAGACTGCTGTTTTGGAACAGGTCAGTTTCTCTTCATGTAGGTACAAGTCTGAAATTAAGCAAGCTCCAGGAAGCTGAATGAAAGTCCTCTTACTGGCAGTGTCTGAGAGACAAGGCCTCTCTTAGGAGACAGAGGTGACTGTAGAATAGATACCACATGGGTGGCCTAAGAGGTTGCAAGAGAGAACAAAAGGGCTCTGTCTGAGACTGGCATGTTTTCCACACTCACGGCAAGAACTTCAAGGAGAAAGCAGTTTAAGAAGGTAGGCCAAGAGCCAACTGGAGCCGGGTCAGACATTTCTGGAGGACGCAGAGACAGAAGACAGGAGGAAGAGTAGCACAGTGGGACACTCTCACAGAAAGGCCCTTTGGCACCAAGGTGGTGGTGAAGCCTACAGCTTGACTTACTCGGGGCTTTTCTCACCCCTAAGAGACAGTAAAACTTCAGCGGGACAAGGAAGCAGCTGCGTGCTGCCGAGCCTCTTCTCCACACAGGAACCCATCCCTAAATAGCACAGATGTTAGTTAGCTGCAGCTGCAACCCATAAACACCACTTTTACCAAGAGGAAACTGAGGCCCAGAGAGGTTCCTCTGACCACACAGTCACGTAGGCATTCCTGGCTCCAAAGCCTGGCTGTATTTTTTTTTTTTTTTTAAATCTGTTCTGCTATACCTTGACTGGGTTCATTGCCAGAGTACAAATCTGCTCACTGATATTGGCGATTGTCCTGTAAATCAAGCTAGTCAGGCTTCTGGGTAGGTGAGCTATCTCTACCCGAGCACAGACACTTCAGGAGCACCAGGGAGATCTAAACAATACTGTAGTACAATTTGTTTTGCTCAGTTTACGATCAGTCCTTCCATGCAATGCTCATTAGTCTCCTTTGAGTTCATGGTAACAATCTTCATCATGGACTGTTACTGAGCACATTCCATGTGCCAGGCATATGCGCCTGATCTGTCAAGCCTATGGGATGGTCAGTGTGGTGAGGAGGTGATAAGCCACTCGGTGATTTGGAGTTTAATCAATCCATCCCAGCCAAAGCTCTAGGAGACTGGGGGTAAGCCACTTCTAGTCTCTAAGCCTAGTTTCTTTATTCAGAAAATAAATGAGTAGATAATCATCCTTATGTTAAATGCATTGGTGGTTGGCATAGTATTAACACTTCATAAAGGATGGCAATCGCTGTTATAATGATTATCTCTGCCACTTGGATTAAGAAACACTTCCTGAAAATGTTAAATAACTTGCTCAAGGTCATATGGCCAATAAAGAGCAGGGTTTGGGACTGGAATTCAGGTGTGCAGCATAACACAGCTCTTCTGCAGGATACTAACCTGCACATATCTGCTAAGCCAATGTGTTTTAAGCACCTTAAGAAGGAGTTTTCTAATTCAGGAGGACTTTTCCCTGGATTTAGAGGGTAGGACTCTATTAAGAGTCAGGGGTGGCTCCTACATGACAATAACTCATAGCAAAGTATGTGGAAGGGACAGACTGCTGGCTCTCCAGGGTGACCTTTACAGAAGCTCCAGAAGGGGGGTGTGGTAGCATGTGAGGGGCAATGGCATCAAAGAAAGAACTGAAGAGGAATGAATGTGACAGCAAAGAGGGCAATGAGGAGGAAGACTTGAAACCTGCAAGGCAGTAGGCAGGGGTAGGGAGGCTGGGATTGGCACCTCTGTGCCCAGGGAAATGGGAAGGTAGGACCTGGCTGTGCATGCCTGGGGGAGCACGAGGAGAAAGGAAACGGAGAAGGGATGAGGGACACATGACAGACACCCCTTTGAAAATGTGAAACTCAGTTCCCAAGAGGAGGAAAGTGGTAGTCGCACGCCAGTGGGGTAGACGCAGTCAGATCCCTCGATTCCTAGTACAGAGCTCTTAGTAAGGGACTCCTACACCTGGCCATACAGGACCTGCCTCAGGACCAGAGAATACATGAACGGTCCCAGGAGACACAGATTCTAGTCCAGCTTTTCTAAGTCAGACCACGATGAAAGTTCTCTGGGATAGTATCTGTATTTTATTTTATTTTATTATCAATAATATATTTATTATTAATACAGGGATACAAAGCCCATTTTATGTTTCATTACCTGCTGGGCATTGGTAGGTCCAAAGGACGCTTCTGTGCTTTTTAGCAAAAGTAACTTTTATGTCCCCGTCTAGTACCTGTATGAGCTTCCTGAGATGGTGCAGCCAGCTCTGCCTCAGCTTGGCAAGTGACTACCTGCTACCATGCTGAGATCTGGTGTGTGCATGCGTGTGCGCGGTGGGGAGTGAGAATAACTAGACTACTGAGGGGACAAGTGACAATAACTTGCATCGAAGCCTGAGTAAGGCTGACAGAAAAGCCCTACTTGTGGCCAACTTACACTTCTTCTAGCTCAGAGTGCAGTGTAGGATCAACAGGAACTCTGTGTGTGTGTGTGTGTGTGTGGTGTGTGTGGTGTGTGTGTGTGTGGTGTGTGTGTGGTGTGTGTGTGTGGTGTGTGTGTAAAAAAGCCTACTATAGCTATTATCATATCAACATGTCATCAAAATAAAAATTATTCAGATAGATTACATTCTTTTTTTGTGTGTATATGTAGAACTAGAGATTGGACCCAAGGGACACTGACTTATAGCCCACTAATCTTTATTTTATTCTGAGATAGGGCAGTGCTAAGTTAACCAGGCTGGCTTCAAGCTTGTGATCCTCCTGCCTCAGCCTCCCAAATAGTTAGGGTTACAGCTATGCACAGCACACCCAACTTTTACATTCCTTTTTTTCTGCATTAAGTCTTCAAAATTCTACTCTGAAAGCACATCTCATTTTGGATTAGTCAATTTCAAATATGGCGTATAAGCGATATTTGAGTTACAAAAACAACATTTTCTTCATTGCAGAAAGTTCTACCGGACAGGACTGCTCTAGACCATGGGTCACTAGTCTTTCAAAGTGGCAAGAAAATGTTGCAGCACTTTTTCTTCTAAAATTAAAGGGGCAGCAATCAAACAAAGAGAAAGAAATATTTGCATATCTTTCTAGAAAAGATTGATTTCATTTATTTAAAGAAAAGACTCAACAGAGACCAGTTTTGTTGTTTTGGTAGTACTGTGAATTGAAATCAGGGCCTCTGCACTGAGATCTACCACTGCCTCTTCTGTATTTTTTATTTTTTATTTTATTAATTTTTATTTATTTGTGTGTGTGTGTGTGTGTGTGTGTGTGGCCAGCTCAGCCCACCAGGGGGCGGGGCTGGCTGGCATGTGGTGCTGGGGGATTGAACCGCGGTCCCTGTGCTTTGCTAAGCTTGTTCTAAGTAGGTGCTTTAGACCACTGAGCCATCTCACCAGCCCCTGTATTTTTTATTTTGAGACAGGGTCTCACTAGGTCACTAAACTGCCCAGGCTGGGGCTGGAGAGATGGCTCAGTGGTCTAAAGCACCTACTTGAAACAAGCTTGGCAAAGCACAGGGACCTCGGTTCAATCCTCCAGCACCACATGCCAGCCAGCCCCGCCCCCTGGTGGGCTGAGCTGGCCACACACACATACACAATAAATAAATGTAATAAATAAAAATAAATAAATATTAAAAAAAAAAAAAAAAAGCTTATTTAAAAAAAAAATAAAAAAATAAACTGCCCAGGCTGGGCTTAAACTTATCCTCTTGTGTCAGCCTCCCAGAGTGCTAATGACCAGATATTATTATTATTTTTGAAAATTTATGTATTTGATACATGCCTGGTTATGGTGGCCAGCTTGGAGGGCTCAGGACGGCTGGCACCCATGTAGTACCAGGGATCCAACTTGGGTCCTTGCACTTGCCAGGCAGGTGCTTAGACTGCTGAGCTATCTCTCGATCCTAGACTAGTTATTATTTAGAGGGTCTTTGAGGTGAAATTTTTTTCACTGTAGTATATAATATGTAAAATGTATAAGTGAAAGAGTCTAAGTGTTAATAAGAATTTGACTTGTTTTTATTTTGATTGTTTGTTTGGCCAAAGAGGTCATGTGTGCCTTTACCTATTCCCCTCAATCCCAACCGCCAATTTTCTGCTCTCATTTCTTCAGCCTCATGATTCTTTTTTTTTTTTGTAGGGGGCAGTCATAGGCCTGAAACCTTCAGAGAACCCTCTTCCCCAACTTGTATCTGGGTGAGCCGCCTCTCCTGAGCTGCAGAGGAGGTTGCAGCTGCACTTATATCAAGTTAATTGGATTGCCAGACGGAAATGACACTTTAAGAATCTTCCTGCTGCTTCCTCCTCCTTGTCACCACTGCTTAGCCTTACCTGTGGCTTCTTGTCCCTCTCCTCCGGGGATGGGTCTGTTTCTCTGTATACGACAGCTTTGGTTACCAGCATGTCAGGGTGCTGCAGTTTGGCCTCTTTGATGGCCAAAGCCAGGGCCTGGTGGACAGAACAGTAAAGTTAGGCACCATGGAACAGAGACGGTGGAGAAACTGGAGACCACACACCCCTCGGTGCACAACTGGGGAGAATGGCCCAGGCATGGGAAAGTCAGGTGGTTAGAGGGAAAGACTAGAACTCAGATCTCCTGGCCCCTTCTAGCTCCCGTTCAATGCTGTTTTATTGGAAGATCCTTATCTGAACAGGGTCAGCAAGAAATAGACCTCTCTGCCAAGGGGTCCATGGATGCTCCCCATACCTGGTCTTGATCAACATCTTCATCTCCAGTGATGATGATTCGCTTCTCGATCCTTGTCTCAGAAAACCCTCCCTTCACAGTCTGCAGAAAGAGAGAGGGGAAGAAGGAAAGGGTGGGCAAGGGAGAGAGGTCACTCTTGGATCTGCCAGGACAGCAACTCCAACAGGGGATCTACCTAAAGCATCACGTAAGGACAAAGCTGGGAACCAGCAGTTTCCATCCCTCCTGGCTTCCTAAGCCATTTCTAATTTTGGAACTTCAGACAGTAGGTCATGTCTGGTTGCCACCATTCCCCAGCTGCCCAACTGTCCCATGTCCATGTTTCAAGTCCAGCCCAGATGTTGCCTCCCTAATCCTGGCTAGAATGCCTCAAGGCCATTCTGCCTTGGTGCTCCCTGAGGACACAATCTGTAGTTTTCACAGTTCTGGACCTCTGCCTGATACTGTGTGTGTGTGTGTGTGTGTGTGTGTGTGTGTGGACACATACTTTACCCTGCTCACCTCACCAGGCTGTGGGCTCCTGAGGGCAGGGCCTGTATTTCATTACCCCTGCATCTCCTCCTCCCTACCACCTTGCCCAATCTGATCAGGGAAGTGCTGAATGCAGATTTGTTGAATGAACACATGAATGAAATGTGAATGGTGACAAGGTTCTACCTTCAATGATTTAGAACAATACTACAAGAGAAGATTGTATAGATGATACTTCATACCTTCACTGTTTTCTAAAAGGGTGGGATTGGGGAGAAAGTTCAGAAGTAAAAGAGGGGACAGGATCTCACTGTTTGACCTACCGAAGGAGAGTGTGGCTGAGGGAAATCTCAGCTGGAGTCAAGCGATGATGGACAAAAAGAAGAGGGGCACCCAGGTGGTAGGGCCAAGAGGAACTTTGGAAAGGAGAGATTTCTGAGATGGATACTGTAGGGTATGCGATCTAAAACCTTCCCATGAAGCTTGCAGCGAAGTCAGCATTGCTCACTAATGCCTTGGGTGTGAAAGTTCTCTCTGGTAAATGTGACAAAATGTTGAGTCCTGCACAGGGGTGGGCAGGGTTGGGATGGAGTTTCCATCACGAAGAGCCAATGCTACCAACCAAACTTCCCCTGAAAGGGCCCAGAAGGACCTTCATTGTAAACAGCTGGCTGCAGCCTGGCTCCCCCAAGGCTCCAGCCCTACTGGGCCCCCTCCTACCTTCCTCCTGGCCACGCAAGCATGGACACATAGCCAGTCCCTCCCAACACATAGTCCTCGCTGGCTGCGTCATAGCTGATATCCAGGATGGCTCCCTCCTCTGGCCTTTTCCTCCCTCTCTCCTCAACTCCCACAAGATCCACAAGGACCTGCCCCCTAGGCCTGAGTTGTTTTTTTTTTAGGATCTTGCTATGTCTTCCAGGACGGCCTCTCAAGTACTAGGATTACAGGTGTATGCCACCATTCCTGGCCTAGGCCTGAGTTCTTATCAGGCTCTATCTCTAATTTCTCCCAACTGCTTGTAGCTCCTAGTAACTTAACATCCTGCTCCAGAAGCCAGTTTTCACTGGGTAACTGCCCAGCTGAAAAGCCTGCGTGGCTCTCCAATTTCCCTCAGACTCAGATCTGCCGTGCTCAGATCTGTCCTGGTGCTTTCATCTTCCTTCACTTTCTGCTTCTTCTGCCCCATCCAACCCGACTTCTCCGTTGTGCTCTATGCACTGCTTCCCGTTTCCCACAAATGTGCCTCACGGATGCAGCCTCCAGCACCGCACTGGGCAGAGGCTGGTGCAAGGTCGCTGCTCATTAGCATTTGTTCAATGAACAAAGAAGGAAATACGCACAGTTTCTGCTCCATCTTCTGCTTTACTTAGAGCACCTGCCACTATCTCCTCCCTCAGGTGTCCTACTTGGCCTCCAGGACCTGCTACAATGCTACTTTTTCCAGGAGATGCTTCCTGACTCTTGGGGAACTTCCTGCACAACATCCCTTCTGAATTCCTCCAACACTTAAGGTTTATAAGGTGCACATGCCATGGTTTACAATTACTTCAAAAAAGAAGATCTTGTCCCCCATCCTGGCTGTCAGTGTTGTGGGTTCAGGGTTTAGGCCTAGGACAAGAGCAGCACAGCACAAAGCACACAGCACTCTAGAAGCCGGCAATGCCACAGGTCTCCTTTGTTCACCTGACAGACTGAGAAGCCAAAGCCAAGCTAAGCCATGGTAATGACCTTCCCACCTGCAGCCCACCGGGGCCTGGAGTGCCTGCTGCTACTCACTTTGGTAACATGGGTGGTGGTAGAGGTTGAGAGGGTTTCCGCAGTGGCGCCGTAGGTGCTGGTGAGGACATCTTTCCCGATGATCTGCAGAATATAACCACCCCCACCCCGGGCATCAGGTCAGGATACTGGGCTCTATATCTGTGGGCAGGGTAGGGAAGCCCAGGGGCAAGGAGGGGCCCATGGAAGTGAAGTTTGGAAGCCAAGATGCTTTGGACCATTAAGAGTGCAAGAATGCTGATCTTCAGAATCCTAGACCCACACAGCTCTCAATCTGGGAATCTGAGATTCCCGTGGCCCAGGGCCCTAATCATACTCTAGAATCCTAGAGGAATGAATGGAGAGATTCAAGGTAGAGATGGAGCCCTCCCAGTCCCTCATCCTGTCCCATCCAGGAGCATGTTCTCCCTGGGGCTAGATGATAAGAACAACAGTCCTTGAGAATCAGTGGACTAGAGAAGACCTCACAGTAACAGACTCAGAATTATAGGCACAACAGCGCCAGCTCAGAATCCGAGTCTTGGATCCTGGTCTCCTGCTCTTTCTGCTTGGCAACCCGGGTGGACGCAAAAGAATCATCAAGGCACCCGCAAGGTCAGGGGCCATTTACCCTTGTACAACCAATGTCTTGCTTACATGTGACAGGGGAAACTGAGGAGACACTAGTGGCACCAGGGAGCTGTGGGCATCTAAACACGAGCCTGTTGCTTTATGCTGCACTTACAAGGGTGCTTTCTGGGCCCAGCCTAGGCTTGCTGCGAGCCACATGTGGACCCATGCTCATGTTCTCAGCTCCAAGACCCCTAGCCTGAGCTGACCCTGCCCACTTACCGGAGAAAGAGAACGGATTTCCGTGGCCACCGTCTGTGGGCCTGGGATCATGGCAGCTGCCCCCTTCCCGGACTTGAGACTGTTCTCCTGGGGAAACAATAGTACTCAGAGGGCCAGGTTTCAGGTGGGCAGGCCCCCAGGATGGCCAGAGCACGTGGCCACGTGGCCCTCACAGCCACAAGGCTGTGTAGTAACACAGAGGCAGAGAACTGAAGGCATCATTCAGTTCAGTCTCTCTCATTCACTCCTTGCCTGCTCATTCATAGACACGATTGTACACTCACTCGCACAGTCACTTATTCAACACAGTTACTCATTAAAAGAAAACATTTACTGAGTGCCTGGCGTTAGGGACACTGTGGTGAACAAGTATTTACTGCTCTCCAGAAGCACAGTGGAGGAGCTGGGCCACATGGGTTCTTGTCCTGGCCCTGCCGTGTTCTAGCCATGTGACCTGGGGCAGAGCACTTCTTCCCTGTAGTTCCCCCTGCTTACTGCCACAAATACCTCATGAAGCTAATGGCTTTGCAAACTGAAATCTGTAGGACAAATATAGAGGCAATGCTGACAATTAACAATATTACAACTACGGTTTTCTAAGTATTTGTGCTAGACAGTCTTTGAAGGATGTTACATCCATGATTTGTTTGATCCTCATGACAATTGTAGGAAATTGCTTATGCTAGTCCTGTTTTATAGAAGAGAAACAAGAGTGGAGAAGCATGTGAAGTGGTTTGTTCAAGTCGCCCAGCAAGTTAGTGGTACAGCTAGCAGTTAATACTCTTCCCGGAGGACCCCAAGTCCAACAGACACTTGCGTTCTGTAGCACTGCTCCACCCTGGAGACTCATTTTTGAGCCAGCCCTCCTGGTCCCGCTTTGGTCCCTGATTTAGTTTCCCGAGACTGTGCAGGCACACAGCTCCCTGCTACCTCCCACTTCTGCACCATCTCTGGGTTCTGCTGTGTCTGTCCAGGGGCCCAGCACTGCCCATTCAGCAGCTCCTTGGCCATGTGATCCTGGTCCTGGTCTGTGCATGGCACCAGATCTGGGCCTGCCAAGGAACAGGGGAGAAACCCCTTCCTTGCTTCTTTCTTGCTTCCAGCTGGGGTTGCTGGCACCTGATCACTCAGCATGTCACCACAACATACTTTGCCAGAGGCAACTGGGACCCCAGAATGCGAGGGCAGCTTCATATGCATTGCTTCTGTTCTCTGGCTTAGGGTCACTTGGAATCCTACTGTTCCTTGGGCTCCCATGAAACCTCATCTTCCCTCACTGCTCCCTTTTCCGGGGACAAGCTCTACCTCCACCTTCATACTAAAAACTGAGGCCACTAAGTGGGACACAAGTTGTTCGAACAAGGGTACTACTGCTCCTCCCACCCCTCCAGGACCTTCAGCCAGTCTCTTCTGCCTTTCTCTGGTCAAGGCAATCCCTCATAGACCACAGCCAGCCACTCAAGAGCTTCTTCTACCTCTTGGAGAAGCCCAGATCTGACCCCTTTACCTATATCCCAGATCTTCCCAAATCCTAGACCTTTAGGACCCACTGTCTCCAGCACCTTTCCCCAGAAATGTCCCATAGGTACCTCACACTCATCAAATCCCAAATAGAACTAGTTGTCTCCTCCACTGATAGATGAAGAGTGCTTTCTGTTTCTATGAGGTGTCAGGCGTCAAGGGGATCACACCTGCTGGGCCCCCCCAAATTTCTGAGTCAAGATGTCTGAAGCAGGGCTATCTTCCTTTCTCACAGGTGCCAGGGATAACACTGTGAGAGCCACTGGCCAGGGAACAGCATGCCCATCCCATACTTCCTCCTGTCACCTCAGCCTTCTACCAACAACCTAATTATGAACTTCCCTCCTGCCATGCCTCCTGCACCCCATGTCTTCCTTGGCACTCACCTCTTTGATCTAGGTCTGCCCCAGCTGGACACCAGCCCCTACCCTACTTCCCCACCTTCTCTTCTGTCTCTCTCCAGCGTGGGCCCAGAGCTTGGGAAGCTGTCTTCACAGTGCCTGGCACAGTATTTCACACATCGTGGGTGTTCAATAAATATTTAGTAAAGGAAGAAAAGAAGCAGGAAGAAGGGAAGGAAGGAGGAGGGAAAGAATTTATGCTCTAGTCCATACTTTACACACTCTGTTACTCTTTCTGTCGCAGAAACATAATTGATGATATCATGCTCCCACTTTAAAAATGTGACTCCCCATTGTATCCAGAATGGAGCTTGAACTTCATTCATGACACTGGAGGTCCAGTAAGCGCTGGCCCTTCTTTCCTCCTCCTTGTCCCCATGTTCCTCCTATACACATGTGACACCTGGCTTTGCTGACCACCTGTCTTTCCCCCAAACATTGTACTCCCTCCTGCCCCTGCCCATCCACCTGCTCTGCCCATTGCCTCAAATGCCTTCTCCTGGGCTTCAGGCACAGTTCAACTGTTCCCACCTGGGTAACATCTTCCCCTGCTCCTCGTGGCAGAGGTAGCCCTCCAACAGGCCCCCAGGCTAGTTTATTATACTACTGCAGGAGGGAAAGAAAGAAAGAATGGTATCTCACACCTACAGACCACTTTCCATGTGCTAGGCAGTGCTCTTGGGGCTCTGTGTAGATACTTTAGTTCGTCTTCACATGATCCCTTTGAGGTATGTACTATTACTCCCCTTGCTCCATGGAAGCAGAAACTGAGGCTTGGAGAGACTCAGATGACTTGCCCAAGGTCATGCAGTCAAGAAGTGGGAGAGCTGGGCTTTGTTCACCACTGTGCACCCAGGACCTAGAGACAGTGGCACAGTACATGACCTGGTACAGGCGCTCGTGACAATGTCAAGAAATAAATCCTGGCAGACAGTGTGTTTTCTTCAACTCTATCTCTGTACCAGGCAGACAGTAGACTCGTCAATGTTTTTGGAACAAATGGATGGATGGATTGATGGATGGATGGGCGGATGGATGGGTAGAGGGATGATATCACTGCCTGCTCACCAAACAGACAAACTTAAATTTAGCTCTGCAAGGATACCAACGCCCCACGGTGAAAGGTTAGGAGAGAGAAAGAACTATGTGACAAGAGACAAGTGTGCAAGTTGGTAACTCATTGGGGTTTATTGACCCTAAAATGTTTATTTATTCAAAACTTACCTCTTGAAGAATCTAAATTAATGGAATTCTCTTCTCATATGTATGTCAAGGGGTTGGCAAGAAAAAGCAACTAACAACAACTCTGAATAGCTCAAGAGAGATCTGGATTGGGCCTTACTACCTGTAGAGAGGCTGACATTAAAAGTGGGGCTTCTGGTATCAGAACACCTGGAGTTAACCTGGTGCTAGCACTAACTGGTTATGTGCCTTTGGGTAAGTCGCCTTACCTCTCTGCGCTTCACTTTCCTCATCAGTAAAGGATGTAGAAGAAAGACCATCCACCTCAGTCTCATAATCCATTCAATGTTCTTGGGACACTGCCTGCTCCCGTAACCTCTGTGCCAAATGCTGTCTGTTCTATTTCATTATCAAAGGCCCTGTGAACTAGGCTGAATGAGGATTATTTTCATTTCACAGGTACAGATACCTGAGGCCAAGGCTCTCCCTTCATGGGCCAGACAGCAAAGAGCAGAATCACAAGGTCCCTTGGAAAGTCAGAAATCCTGTGGCCAACTCAGGTTCAGTACTGCCATCTACTGACCATGGCAAGGAGAAGACACATGGCCACCAAGAGGCGGTCCCCAGCAAGGATCTGCAGCCACAGGGTGAGATTTCCCAGTGAAATCTCTGATGAGATTCATGCACTCTACGAACCAAATAGTAGTATCCTCCCTCAGCCCCTGGTGGCTGAGACACCTCATACCCGAGATGTCTCAGGGCTTCCACCTCCTCCATTATTCAATTGGAAAAACTGGTTTGATCCATGTCTGGGGCTAACTAAGGTATTAGACAATACGCTTTGGACTATACGTCTCATGTCTGATGTCATGAAGGCAGTTGAGGGCTTGCTGGGCAACATTCACATGTTATGTGGCTATTTTAGGGGGCGAGGCTGGGAGTCCAAGGGGGAAGCCTCCTGCATTCCACTTACCATGGTGGTCGAAATGGTCTCTGTGGTGATGGAGGGGGTGGTTGTCATGAACTCCTTCCCGAGTGGGGAGCTCCCATCAACCTGCCGGCCAGAGGAGGAAGAGTTAGAGATGGAGGGGGCCAGATATCCTGTGGCTTCCATCACCTGAGCTCATGGCATTTGCAATTAGAGCGACAGTCATGTGGTGAGCATGCACAGGGTGGTCCACACAGAATTAGAGGGGCCTCTCAGGCCTCTTGCTTCACTTCAACTGTTTTATTTGACAAAGAAAAAAAAATACTCCCAATTTGACAAATTCTATCTAAATCTCAGTGCACATAACCTTTGGTCTACAAATCTGTAGATATTTTCCCTTTGGATATGAATTTTGAAAAGTTCACCAAGAAATATGAATGAGGAAGCTCACTGAAGCACAAAAATCACCACAGGTTTCACTAATGGGACAGTAAAAGGAAGTAGGGATTGCTTCCTAAGTGGGATGAACAAAAGTAAGGCAGGATCTGGGTGTGCTGGTGCACACCTGGGAGCCCAGCATTCTGGGAGGCCGAGGTCAAAGGATTGCGAGTGTGAACTCAGTCTGGATAATTTAACTACCTAGTGAGAATCTATTCAAAAAATAAAAGAGACTGGGGGAGACTGTGGATGTAGCTGAGTGTGAAGGTCTTGAGTTCAACCTCCCAGTACTAGAAAAATAAAAGAAGAAGAAAAAGAAACAGAAGGAGAAGGAGAAGGAGGAGAAGAAAGAGAAGAAGGAGAAGGAGAAATAGAAGAAGAAGAAGAAGAAGAAGAAGAAGAAGAAGAAGAAGAAGAAGAAGAAGAAGAAGAAGAAGAAGAAGAAGAAGAAGAAAAGGAGTAAGGTAGGCACAATCCAACTGGGAGTGATCTCCAAAAAGTTTCTTTATCATTTTCTGTATGAAAAAAAAAAAAGATACTAAGACAAAATAGGCCAGAAAGAAAATGTAGCTTACCCACAATCACACAGCCCATTGGAATCAGAACATTCTGGAAATGACAGTTGCCCACGTTGTTGATTTAAGCATTATTTTACCTTTCTTTCTCCTTTTCTTCTCTCTCTCTCTCCCACCTCTCTCCTCTCCCTCTATGTGTGCTAAAAACTGAACCCCGGACCTTGTGCCTGCTAGACAAGTGCCCTACGCTGCAGTTATATCCAAAACTCTTATTCTGAAGATAAAGCCTGCTCACCAGAACAAGAAAGACTCCAGTGCTGCAGCTCTTCCAGCCAGGAAGAACCAAGAAGACATCTCTTAGGCACATAATCTCAATTTTCAAAGCTTACAATCCACAGGCACGGGAAACAGGAAATGTACTTTAAGCAGTGCATCCGTGTCTGTGTATGAGTTCTCTCCAGGGTGCTGCTGGGTATGCTTCATCTGGCTAAAACAAGTAATTTTGAGGCCTCTCCATAACCACAAGTTGGTTCATTGTACCAATCTAATGAGTAATTGCTATGTATTAAAAAATGACCCAGGGTGAGCTTTTCAGACTAAATCCAGATTGGGATTTCTCCTTCTTTCTTCTCTTAGCAACCCTGGGAAAAAAATCTCTCTAGTTCTCTCAAGTAGTGTGAAACCAGGGTCTTAACCCACTGAGTCCTGGCAAGACTCCCAGGGATGAGGACACAGACGCAACCCCATTTTATGAAAGAGGAAATTAAGGTTTTAAGTAGGGTGCTCTGGGAGCCAGATACAGTGGCACATGCCTGTAATCCCAGCTACCTGGGAGACAAAGATAGAAGAATCATGAGTTTAAGGTCAGCTTGGCAAGATCACTGTTAAAAAAAAAAAATAGTATAGTCAAGCAGTGTAGCCTACCCAACTCCTCCCACCTCTGGAGCTCAGGGAGGACAGTGACACTCAGAAAAGCACTGGGATTAAAAGGGGGGAAGCTGGAGTGGATGGCTGAGGGGCTTGACTGGGGCAGTTAGGACCCCAATTCCCAATACCCGATGCCTGTGGTCAGGACACAGTGGAAGGCCCAGGCTACCTGTGTGTGGTCCACAGTGGAGACTCTGCTCTGAAGTACGGCCTCTGGCTCAATCTTCTTCCTGATAGCCAGGCTGCTGACGGTCATGGTTTCTGTTTTCACGGGCTACAGGGGGATGAAGGGGAACACTTTATAACTCAGGAGCAAGACTCCTGCTCAAAGATAATTATGGTATAGGACTGGCAAATTATCTCCTACCCCTCAGCTGGCCAGGTCTCTGCAAGGGCATCAGGTCAGGGAAGAAGAGGTATGGTATGACGTCACAGACAAACAGCTCAAGGGGAAAGCCAGGGCCACCACCAGCCCCAGGCAGGCCTGCCCCACGCTCTGCCACTGCAACACTGCCAGGGGTCTGCATGTTGTTTTAGACAATCACTAACATGACACTTACAATTCCATTTGTAAGTATTTGGTGTGTTACAAACACACTAAATGTTTTCCTTACATACATAACATCGCTGAAGCCAGAAAGACCCCAGCAGCTAAGCTTCTGTCATTGGCTGCTTCATTTGAGCTGTCGTTCAGAGTCAGATCACACACGTGGAGGCCAGGCAGGAGATAGTAAAGCATGAGAGGCTAAGGTGGAAGGATTGCAAGTTCAAGCCTAGCCTGGGAAATTTAGCATCTTTGTGAGAGCCTGTCTCAAAATAAAAATTTTAAAAGGGCTGGTAATGTAGCTCAGTATGTAAGGCCCTGGGTTCAATATCCCCCAGTATGCAGGAGGTGAGGGTGTAGAGAAGACTGTGGAGAGCATGCAGGATTCCACTCAAATTTGTCCAACTGTTGCCATGGCCCTGAGGAACTAAACTATCTGATTTTTCATGACATGGAAAGCCCCAGATTTTATACTCAATGCCATGAGTTTTAAATCAGAGTCAAAGAAAACACATCTGGTGGCTAGATCTAGCTTGAGGCTGGCAGTTCACAATCTGTACCTTAAGAGTCTTCAGCTAAATGATCATCAGTCTTGTGAATCCTCCACTAGGCCTACTTTATGGCTATGTGTACTTCAGGCTTTCACATAAGCAGGGGCAGGATCCTTAGAGATGGTTGTAGCCCTGTGGTAGAAGCCATTTATCTAAGCCACCTCTTAGCACTGAGTATGTGTCAGGTTTACAGGAGCTGGTGGGACAGGAGACCCTGCAGCCACTGCTCTGAGTGCATCGGACAATGCTGGAGCAGAGGCATTATGGGGTAGAGGCGAGGGATGGGGTAGAGGCATGGTGGCCAGGAAAGCACGTGCCAGGGAAAATGACATATAGGCTCTGTCTTGGGTCACAGTAAGTTTACAGGGCACAGAAAGAGTGGACAAACTCTATCCTGAGGGTACAGCATAGAGTGAATGGATGAGCTGGTATTTCACTGCCTGGGAATGTGGAAGAGGCTTGGCTAGAAGAGGTGAGGTGGCAAATGAATATCACAGAAAAGAGATAAGTTTAAAAAAGACCTCTCTGTAACTCTACAGGGGGAGCCACAAAGCAGGGAGGCCCCGACACCATCTGTCACCTGTGTCCTCCTCGAGGACTGGATTTCTTCTTCTCCAGCAGTTTCCACTACCACCCTGAGTCCCCAGGACCTGATGGATTCTCCAGGAAGCCCAGGCCTCAGGGAAGCAAGGAACCTGGGCCTAGATCAGGAAAAGCCATTCAAGTTTCAGACCAAGCTACAGGACCTCTGAGAGTCCAGAGACGCATGCTCTCTGCAGGTGCCATGCAACACAGGCAGGGAGATGAGGGGCTGAGGAAGACGGGAGTGCCTGTCATCGCTTGACCTCAGCAAGCAATGGGGTGGGTCACGGGGTTAAAACACCGGAGAGCTAGAAGTTAGGGGGAAACTGACATGGCAAACATGCGGGCACAGAACCATGCTGTTCTGCACGGGGCAGTCATGCAACACGAGACAGCTTCAGGCTGCAGCTGGATGCTTGGTCTTCTTACACGTGGCCCAGGGCCCTTTGAGCATGCAGTGCTCGCGTGGGCCCAGGTCTCCATGAAGCTCCACTGTACCTCAAACTGGGGCATATCCGGGGTGGAGCAAGCCCCTCGTTCTGGGCTGTCCTCAATTCCCCCAGACTCATCATCCTGGCTGGGAGGTCCCTTGAGATCCCGGGAGAACACCAGGCCCTCTGTTTCCGAGTCACTTTTGTCCCGGTCAAGCTCAGGCAGGCTGCGGGAGAAGTCTTCAAAGGCGCTGCCGTGATAGTCGCCGATCACTGTGAAGTCCACCTCAGCCTCCAGGCTGGACGTAGAGCTGACCGTGATGCTGGAGCACTTGCGTTCAATGGCCAGGTGGCTGTCCTTCAGGAACACTGCGTCCCTCTCCTGGTCCTGGTCCTCGTCTCCTGTGTCACTTTCTGGGGCCCGGGGGCGTGGTGGTTTGACTTTCTCCTCCGAGCCCTCCCTCAGCCCTGCTCTCTAAGGCCAGATAAAATCAGAAGAATGGGGGTGTGGGGTGGGGAGAGAGAAAGAGAGAAATCAAGATGGTGAATGTCAGAAGAAACCTCGGGGCTGTGCTGATGTCCTGAATGGAAGAGCGGGTCAGAAAACAGAAAACACCCCCAGAAAAGGTTCTTTGAAATTACACAAAGCATTAAAGAAAATAATAATCCAAAAACTTCTTAAGAGTAAGCTGCTCCTTCTTGAGGGTTTCACACCGAAGACAAAAGCAAATACAAAGCAAATGTCCTGCCAGAGCATCCTGGACAGGAGGCTCCATCCAGGCCCAGATCCAGGAGCCTGTTAGAAGCACCACTGCACAAAAGGCAGGGATGGAAGCCCGGACTACAGGCCCATCCATGCGAGTGACATCAAAAAACAAAGAAGAAGGCTGGGGACTCGGGGAAGCCCAGAAGAGGAGGCAGAGGCTGGAGCCAGGAGCTTGAAGAACACAGGAAGCCAGCATGGCTTGTCAATTCCACTGAATCTCCGTTGGGGGCGGTGAGCACCAACCAGGGGGAGGAGTGGTACAGGGCCAGGCCCTGTGGGCACCAGCTTCCTGGGAGCCTCGCACTCCATGCGTGTGCCACAGACGGCCATGGAGAGAAGGTTCTGGTCCCATCAGTGTAATTGACAACAGCAGGTCAAGGAAATGCCTAAGGGAAACCAGCAATTCTTATCCAACATACATACCTCTCAACTGGCCTGTCGGGGATTAAACACACACGTACATTTTTGGCTGGTTCATGACATTTTTTTTTTTAAAGACCAATCTAACATACATGATATATATGTTTTTTTAAAACTCAGCTTCAGTTCTGGAGATTCAGTGTGCTTAGAGATTCACTTGCTAAACGAGCCTCCATTTAGCCAGTTTCTGGAAGTTCGAGAGGTGTGAGGAATGCATTCCAGACAAGCCAGAGTTGAGCAGCCACAGGCGGGCGCTGCTAGAGCAGGTGGGGATCTAAGGAGCGATGCATTCTGGCCAGGTGAAGATGACTGGGTCATCAGGGCACAGAGGGACTGCAGAGACCTGAAAGCCTGAGGGGCTGGCGAATCTCAGGCGCCCCCCCTTCCCAGGGGCGTTTGCTGCTAAGCTGGTGATGTGCTGCTCTTCCCTGACCGCATCTCCGGATTTGTTCTGGATTAGAGAAGACAGTTAGTCTTAAGGAGGCAGAAAGACACTTGAGAGGAAATCAGAGTGGAGGATGGAAAGCTCTGGCCTGCCAGCTTCCACCAGGCAGGAGACCAGGGATGGGAAAGGATGAAGATAGATCACTGGATAAGCCAAGCAAGACAGGTAGGAGGAGTCTAGCAGGTGGGAACAGCAAGGCAAAGCGAGTACTGTACCTAATTTGCTGCTGGTGGTAGAACCTTCTCAATGGGGGTTATGCAACCCTCTGGGCACCAGGTTATACCAAAAGCTGAGCGTCTCTGTGGCCAAGCTAACATGGACCAAGCAGATGATCCCATCCTTTAGCCTGGGCTATTCTTGGCCCATTTAGGAAAAAGACCTCAAAGGGATAGACAAGCAGCCTCAGGTTGCAGTAATGATGAGGGGCCACTGAAACATGCTTCTAAAGAGCTACTTGGCATGCGGTTAGCCCCCATGGGTAGGGGGCACAGTGGGAGCAGAGGCTCACATGGCCAGTTACCCCAGTGGTTTCCTCCAGCGTGGTTTTGCAGCCCGAATCGAGGGACATGAGCTCCAGTTCTGGGCATCTCTCCTGGTGGCATGTGGTTGAAATGCCTTCCACAAAGTGTCTGTTAGCCAGAGGCATCATGGAGGAATCTGTAGTTTTGGGACTGGCAAGGTGCCCTGGGGGCTGGAGTTGCATGGAGCCCAGGTCTAAAAGCTTACTCCACTGTTGCTCTACCTGTCCTGGGGAGGCCTCTGAAGGTTCATTCGAAAAGACCTTTGTTTCGCCCTGACTGACCCGGCGAACCTCAACTCCATGCGTCTCAAATATCCGAATTTTATTGGCCACTGAAGTCTTGCTGATGTCTTCCAGGGAGCCCTCTTGGACCCCAGCCTGGAAAGAGGTCATCTCTTTTTGCTTCCCCAAAGGGAACTTCAACCCCAGGGGTGTGACGCCCTCAACTTCTCCAGGGATAACTTTGGGTTTTCTACTGACAACTGGAGGTGCCCTTCGGTCACCTCCTGTGTTAAGTGACACAGTCAACCTGACTTGGTCCTTGGCCTCCAGACTTTCTTTAGGAGGATGGACACATTTGAGATACATAGGGAGCTGATGTCCAAAGGGATCCCCAAGCTCTGATGGTTCCCCTGACCCCTGAGGAACTGAGCTTAGAGAAGAGTCTTCCAGAGCTATCAGAGCGTCTGAGTGACCAGAGGAAGTTGACAAGGGGGGGACCACCACTGTGTGAAGGAATGCTGAGGCCTTGTAGTTGCCAGTCTCAGGTTCTCTGGCTTGGGTATGATCTGCTCCCTTCTCTTTGGCCAGGAAGTTGCCTCTCTCTGGTTTGTCTGGCTTTCTAACATGAGGAGGGATAGTCCAAAGTAGGGCACAAGCCTGGGCATCAAGGTGCACACCCCCTACTCCATGAGGGAAGTGGTTCTTTAATCTTGTTGGGGGACTTTTCTCAGCCTTTTCCATTAAATCTCCATTCTCATGGGTCTCTCCCTCTTTGGCTGCACTGGCTGTTGGGTGGATAAACTCTCCTTCCACCTCTGACTGGGCTTCTTCCCAGTCCTCAGCAAATGTCTGCTCTGTAGAAGGTTCCTGCAGATCATCTGGTCTTGCATGGCTCCTGAGAGACTTGTGCCCTTCCTCTGAGGAAATCTCATGGGCTTCATCCTTGTTCCTGCCAAAGGTTGCAGCAGAGACCACCTGTTCTGAGGAATTCAGCTCCAGGCTGTCTAGGAGCTCCATCGACAACTCCCGCCTAGTCTCACCTTCAGGAAAGGCATCCAGGTGCTCTTCTCCCTCTTCCATGGGCGGAAGGAGGACTTGGTCTTCAGAATCTTTTCCTTCATAGTTTGGATAGAAGCTCCTCTCTGCAATGGAGGTATCAGTCTCATCACTTGAGTCAGCTCTGGCCTCGGCATGGACTGGATCCAACAGAAATGAGTGGAACCCCGTTTTGTCTGAGCCTGGAGAAGAGATGTCCATCTCTGCTGGCCTGGTGTCTGTAGGAATGGGTCTTCCAAAAGTCTTCAGCTGCTGCGGCCCCTTCCTTAGCTCTCCCTGGTGATCCGGATGACCATCGGAGATGTGGCAATTCCTAATGGGTGCCTCACTGGCTCCCATCCTGGGCTCAGAGCCCTCGAGGGGTGTATCTGCCAACATGCAGCCCACAGCCCAGGCAGCCCCAGCTGAGTCTCCCCCAACCCAGGGGCCTTCTTTCCACACTGACTCAATGTCTTCTGGACTTGTGATCATTTTCCCCTTCTGCTGAGTGTCTGCTCTTCTGGTTTCCACCATTTCTTCAGTGGCCACTTCGACTTTGAACTTGTCCACCAAAATGTCTACCTTGGAGAGTCTGCCATCAGCAAGGATATCGGCAAGGAATGCCTCACTTTCTTCCTGCTGTGTGGTTGCCACTGTTAGGAAACTGAGTTCTTCTGGCCTAGTGTACTCTCTTTCTATAAAAACCCAATGCTCCGAACCCTGTGTTTCAATTGGAGCAAGAAGAGTTAATATAAAATAGCATGCACCTAAGGGTGGGTCACATTTCCCTCTGAAGAAGGGACCAATCTACCACCAATCCACAGTAGGATGGCATGTCCCCAGAACCAGCCAGGGAGAGGCGTGTTGATGGCAGTCATACCCATCAAGGCTATTCTTCCCATCAAGACCCCCCAAACTGACAACCCTTCTCAACTACTGTTCCCAAATTAAGAAAAAAGGACAAGTTATCATGTTCTACCCATGTTAACAATGGGAAAGGGGAGATCCATGGGTGGGTTAGGACTCTTCCTCTTTTAATAAAATAATTGCCACTCTCAGGAGGAAAGTACTTACATTATCAGGAATCTTTGAATGCTACAGCTGAAAAAGCACTTAAGACATTATCCAGTCTAATCTCCTATTCTGTGAATGGGAGGAACTGAGGCCTGGAAAAGGTCAATGACTTGGCCACGATCACTATTTGTTGGTGGCAGAATTAGGAAGAGAATGCCTGACTTCTGATGCCTGAGATCTTTGCTGACTTATTTCACAACCTTGGAACATGGGTGCCAACCATGAGCTGAGGGGAAAATCACAAGCTAAGGGGAAGAATCGGGAGTGCAGTCCCATAGGCCACAGCCTGAACTTGGAACTTTCTAGAAGAGCTTCTAGGAAAGAAGCAGATTACTAACAGCACAGATAACAAATGGGCAGATTAGCATCATTCAATGTGATAGCTTACAGGCTTGAACACTGTGGGGTTCAATCCAAAGGAAACAAATACCAAGACCTATTTTCGGAGAATTCTAACCAAACTCACGGAGTATGGGAGGACTAACCAGAACACACCATAGAAGGGAAACACCTACAGACCCAAGAATGAGCAGGGGCCAGGAGGACCAGAAAGTGGCGCTGCCAAACTATCTGCAGAATGTTGTCCTCTACCCCAGCTCTTCAAATAGTACTTAGGAGAGGATAATGGACATCTAGAATCATTAAAGAAGCAGGAAGGCCATTGAGGTTTTAATCTCTTCTTGGGCCACCAAACACTTTTTCCCCACAAAATATTTTCTGAAAAATTTATTTATGTGATACAGGGTCTTGCTATGCAGTTCAGACTTGGAGTGATCCTCCTGTCTCAGCGTCCCTAGTGCTGGGATTACAGGCATCTGGCACCACTCCATGAAGCCTAGCTGCCTATGTGATAGGATGTGCCCAAAATGGGTCTGGTCAACAGGAGGGGGAAGGTCTATATGACCTTCAGGCTATCACTCAGTGAGGCGACTGTCAATCCCACAAGAGCTAGAGGATAAGTGGTCACAGGAGTACTGTAAGCCCTTTCGCTTC